CCAGGATGGCTGAAGCTTGCCTGACCAAAGGAATTGCCTATCCTTGGAACAAGTGCTTCCATCTCATCCTGGTGGTGGCCAGCCGAAGCAGTCCATCACACACACGGTATTCCCTGCTACACACAGAAAGCAACAATAACAAAAACCACTGCTATAATGCTACTGTCATTTACTGAACTCCACAACCAGTGCAAGGTGTCAGGTGCTTTATGTTCATGAACCCACTTAATTTTCATAATAAAATTAAGGTAGGTGATTATCCCCATTTAACAAATGAGAAAATCAGGACTCAGAGACAGGTAAAATAATTAGTTCAAGGTCACATAACAAGTGACTGGAAGAGCCTGAATTTCTGAATCCAAAATCATACTCACAACCCTTACGCTGTAAGTGTTCAATTATGAGTCTCTACACACACACACACACACACACACACACACACACACACACACACACACACCCAACACCAAATACACTCTTCAAGAGCTAGGATTTATTCCTCATTCATCATCCACATAGCACAGGGACTGATCCTTAGTGGATGGTCAGCACATTTTTGTAAATGCATTCTTAATACTATTGCATTAGTGTTATACTTTATGTATACTATAATTAATAGATTAATGTAAGTATCCATTGCCATAACACCCCAATGTCGGCTTTCCTATTCCCTACTATTGGCCATTTGGACTATTTCCAATTTTTAGTTTTAATTTGCAGTACAGTAATTTGCTCTTCCTGGAACATGAAATGGGAGTGAGAAGGAGAAGATGAACCTAATAAAGGAAAAATACCATTTTGCTTCTTTCATGAGACTATTCAGGGTGAATCCAATTAAGTAATATACTCACTACACAAACTAGAGAAACAAATCTGGGATTATGATAATGAAATGACCAGCCTTTTCTAGTAAACTTAAATACCACAATTTTCACTAGAAAAGCACTCATGTTTAATATATTGTAAAATACACAGTACCCTCTATCTAGGCAAGATCCAATTTTTTTTTCAAAAATGAGTATCAGTCGTCAAAATTCTATAATTTAGAAGAAAAAACAATGCAGCTTTTTTTTTTTTTTAGCAAACTGAATGTGGTAAAATACCTGAAGCATTAAAATAATATATAGTACTTTAGGCCTGGGGTTTCTAGTTCAGGTTTTTAAATTTGTTTCCTGAGTGCTTTTGTTGAACAACCCTCAGGTACCCTCTAGTGGATGAGGTGCAGAACAGTTTGGTGCCAGAGGTGCCATTTGTCATCTATTTGTGTGCTATATGTCTAAAAGTAATCGTAACTCATACTTGTAGGTTTATATGAAGGATATAGGAATAATGATTCTTTCTTAAGAAGCACTTTATATATTTGCAGTCATTCCTAATGCCAGATTTATTAGTGTATTAATGGCAGATTTTAGATTTATTAATATTAACAGGTTTTTGGCCTATCGGTTTATTTTAAATAACTGCTACTGGAAATTTACCCATTCTCACTCTCTTTTGAAACATGAGTAAAAAATTAATATGATAGTTTTAATCATCTTAAATAGGTCATTCATATCTTTTCAAAGAACCTATAGGTAGGTCAAAGAAAATTATTTTCACCAAAATGTAAGAATTTAAAAATGAACAATATGGGCTGGCTGAGTGGCTCAGTTGGTTAAGAGCTCGCTCAAGAGTGTGAGCTCTGAGCAACAGGGTTGCCGGTTCGATTCCGGGCCTGAGCTGAGCTGCCAACAGGTGGCAGGATGGCTCAGCTAAAAAAAAAAAAAAAAAAAAAAGAACACTATAACCCAATAATAATTTCTGCTTTAAGGTGACCTTAAAAAATGACATAGGCAGAGAAGGGTAATGTTTTCTAAAATGTGGTCTGTGAGATACTAGTTCCCTGATGCATTGATGGTGGGGTAGAGTGGGCACTCTCTTACTTGAGAGATATTTCAGAAGATTAACTCTCTCCTCTTGGCTTTTTTTTTTTTAATTACAGTTGGTGTTCAACATTATCTTATATTAGTTTCAGGTGTATAGCATAGTGGATACACATAAATATAATTTACAAAGTGATCCTCCAATGAGACTAGTACCTGGCACCATACATGGCTATCACAACATTACTGACGATATCCCCTATGCTGTACTTTATGTCCCCGTGACTATTTTGTAACTACCGATTTGTGCTTCTTAATTCCTTTACGTTTTTCATCCAGCCACAGGAACTGACTCTTAGATACAGAGAACAAATTGATGGCTGCTCACCCCCCTTGTTTGGTTTCCACACTCAGCTCATAAACTTCTGACAACTCGCCTTTCTGTAGTACTTGCTCACAGGAAGAGAATGCAGTGGGCCACATGACACACGCTTTCCAGTCCGCTTTACAGCTCAGCTTATCTTGTGAATTTCAATGTTGGCATCATGCTTATGTAGAAATACATATGCATATGTTCCTGTATACACACAGTAGGTCATTTTGCTAGCTAGTTAGTGACTATGATCATAGCAAACATACTAAACTCTTAACAGTGCTTTTTTTGGGGGGGAGTGGGGGGAAGGAGTAGAAGGAGATTTTACTTTCAGAGCTAGGCTTTACCTAATATTTGAAATTTTTACAATAGGCATGCTTAACTTTTATAATCAAATATACATAAATACATGAATGTATGTATACACACATATTATCATATTCAATTGTAGAATTTGAGAGATAAAATAACATTTTCCCAGCAATGTCCCCAAACACGCCTCCTGAGCTCCCACACGCCCAAACTTATCCAGCCTCTACCAAGCACAGCTCACCCACCTACCCACTTTGTTCTCTCCAAAAATCCTCTGTGTTTGCTTATATCCAAAAGAAAATACCTGGCTAGATGCTCTTGCCTAGTTCCTAGAGCTGTAGCTTAGAGCGCCCCCTTGAGGCTTAAAGACTCCACAGGGCCACTCACAACTCTGATTCTCAGAAGATGCAACCCACAAAGGTGAGTGGTGACAGAGCTGAATGAAACCTGGACAGTCCCTTGTGACCGTCTTGTCACTGCTCATGTTATTTTTCCTCCCAGAAATCTTCAAGCTCTTTGTAGAAATAGTTTCTCTCACTGAAAAATATAAAGGTCATCCTCACCAGAGTCAAAACTTCTACTGGCTCTGTCTCTCTAATCCTTCTCCCTCTCCCTCTCTTTCTCTTTACACACACATACACACACACACACACACACACACACACACACACACACACCTGGTGTTCAGAATTGTACGTACACTCCCCATTTATAACTGTGCTCTTAGGTGCTGACAAAATCAGGTTTCTGCGTCAGTAGAATGAAGACCAGACCCAAGGTCCAGATGAACTCATTAGAATGAAAACCATCCCATGGGGCTCTGTCTGGGAGCTGGGTAAATTCCCCTTGTGACACCCTTTCTGTCTCATTTTCCACCTTCTTCAAAGTGAAACAAGAACCTAATCTCCAAGATATAATAAGTTAACATTTATTGAACACTTAACATATACCAGGAAATGTTCTGTTTGCTTGTTATATATTATTTAAACTTCACAGCAACCCTTTGAAATAAGTATTATTCTTCTATCCATTTTATAGGTGAGAAGACTGAGGTTCAGAGAGCTTAAGTACTAGAGCAATACTACCTGAATGCTCATCTTCTTGCAAGAAAGGGGCATGAAACTTGTATGGAGTGACTCTGTTGAACACATTTAATCAAGGAATCTGCAGTCTGTACCTAGGAAGAGCTAACCCCAGGCTTTTCACACTGGGATGCATGTACTTCCTGGAATGGTCAAATGCCAGTGGCTGTTGATGCTATATGAGTAGGTAAACATGGTACATCATTTAAGAGTATCAATTTTCCTCCCAGGTTATTTTGGAGAGACAATATTATTTTTTTTACAAGACCAATGGATATTTTAAAGAGTTTAATGAAAACATTTTGTGGTTTCAAGATAAAATGCAAAAAGATAAAAATAAAAATAAAACCATCCCTTTGGTGAAGGGTCGCATCTCTGAATCCTCTAGGGTAATGCTTCTCACACTTAAGAGTTCATGTGCATCACCTCTGGGCAGGGCCGGCCCCGTGGGTGTGAGACCTGTGTAGTGCCACTCATACTTTTGGTTTAATGCTCTGCTGCCACCGTCTTGAAATTCTTACTAATTTTTAAACTAGGGGCTTTACCTTCTCATTTTGTACCAGGCCCGAGCAAATTTCTAGCTGGTCCTACCTGAGAATCTTGATAAAATGCAGATCCTGATTCAGTATGTCTGGGGTAAAACCAAGGTTCTGCAGTTCTAACAAACTCCCAGGTACTGCCTGCTGTTGGTCCAAGGACCACACTTTGAGTGGCAAGACCCAACCATTCTCTCTATACCAGTGTGTAATACTTAACTGGGAAAGTGTGAGAAGCAGTGAGGCAGAGGGGCAGTGACTCACAGTCATCACAAAAGCATGGGTCTTCACTGCCACTTACTCTGCAAAACTCCACAGATTACTTATTCTCTTTATGGCTCAGTTTTCCCACCTGCAAAATGGGAATGATAACAAACACCTCAGGGGACAGTTGTGAGGATGGAATGTTTGTGCAGCATCTCACATTCAGAGTGTTCGATAAAGACAACTACCTTAATGCTTTTACATGGTAATGAAGCATAAGACCACAATGGAAACAAAAACAGGCAAGATGTCTCTTTCTTCATAGTAACAACCCTTCCCGCGTTCCAGTCGCTCCTTCTGGCACCCAGAAAAATACTCTTAGAGAAAGCAATTCTGTTAAGGAAATATTGTAGAACCTGCTTATTCTTTATGGGAACCTACATGCTGACGCTGTGAGAAATACTATCAGTAACAAGAGCTATAAATACTGTATTAGTTTGCTAGGAATACCATAACAAAGTTCCACAGAAGGGGTGGTTTAAACAACAGAAATTTATTTTCTCACAGCTCTGGAGGCAAGAAGTCCAAAATCAAGGTGGCAGCAAGGTTGGTTTCTCTCCTTGGCTTGTAGATGGTCTGTCATCTTCCCTGTGTCTTCACATGGTCCCCCTCTGTGAACATGTGCCAATTTTCTCTTCTTAGAATGACATCAGTCATATTGCATTAGGACCCACATATATGATCTCATTTTACCTTAATCATCTCTGTAAAGGCTCTATCCCCAAATATTGTTACATTCTGAGGTACGGGGGCTTAGCACTTCAACATATGACTTACAGGGGGACACGGTTCAGCCCATAGCAGATACAGAGGACAAAACCAAACCGAAATAACATGTGTCAGTGCATCCACATGCAGGCCATTCTTGATTTCAGCATTCGATGTAATGTATCCTTTATTCTTAGGTGAATATATCCATTGAGAATGAAGAGCTCTTCCATGGCAGGGAGGCAGCGTGTGTCAGGCGCTTCTGAATCCAACAGAGCTGGCTTTGAATCTGCTCTGTTACTGACCACTGAGAACTTGGGCAAGCTACTTAATGTAGCTGGGCCTTAGCATTCTTATAAATGAAATAAGGGTAACAATAATGCCTACCTCATAGGATTATTATGAAGATTAAATGGGCAACCTACGAGGTCGGACAATTAGGGTCACGAACTCATTCTAGAAAAAGTGCTACATGCCTCATTGCTGAATATCACTACGGTCACCTTCGAAGTACTCCCCTTGGGAAGCTATGCACCAATGCCAGCACCTAGTCCACCCTTCAAAGCAATTTTGGAATTCTTTTTCTGGAATGGCCATCAGAGCTGTCGTCGTATTACCCTTGATGTCCTGAATGTCTTCAAAATGTCTTCCTTTCAATATTTCCTTTATCTTT